GGCCCTAGCACGTGTTGAGTGGCCACAGAGGAGCTGCAGCCTTAGACCAGATGCCCTTGGTGGCCTCAGACTTGTCCTTCCTCTGTGTGTCGCCCAGGCAGAGGCAGTGCGGAGTCAGGGATGGCACTCGCGGATCTTCCTTTAGGCCCCGCTTTGATTTGAACAGAAATGATAGAAGCGAGGTTGGCTCAACTCCCAGGGTTGATTTAGTGCAGGTTCTGCCCCTAGGGCCTGCCTGACCCTGCAGGGCTGGCCTGGTTGGGAACAGTCCTTGCTGTGATACTGTAAGCTGGCCCCCGAGATGCCGTTTTACTCCCGCTGGGTGGAAGAGCCTTTCAAGCAGCCTAGATTCTGCTGTGTCAGGCCTCCCATGCCCGACCCACGGGCTCCTCGTACGTGCAGGAGGATGAGCAAGAGGTGTGGCCCACCTGCTCCATCTCTACAGTGGCCTGCTGTGATCTCTCAGATGCTGTGTTTAGAGCTGAGGGGTGGACAGGCAGGCATTGTCCTGTGCGGGGAAGACATTGTCTCTGCAGAGCTTACAGCCTTGTGGGCGAGACAAGTTTACAAACAGGCAATGCCAGTGCTGTGTCCTGAGCACTCGGAGAGGTGCCTGGACACCAGGAGAGCATGAGGGCCCAGTGACTTGGGGTGGGCTTGGTGGACACAGGCAGGGGCTGCAGTAGGGTCAGGGACAGTGGCCATCTGCTGGGGGCTGACTCAGGCTAGAGAGAGAAGTGAGTCAACAGCGTGAACAGGACCACAGGGCAGAGCCAGGTCACTACAGGGCCTCGAGCTGGGGGCTCAGGTGGAACATGTGACGTTGACCTTGAGATTTGTGGAGGCCACACATGTTTGGACCCAGGAAGGGAGGCAGACATATCTCCCTAAACTGCTAGCTCTGACTAGAGAGGCCACATGCTCTAGTACCCGCTGTTTCTAGCACCCGACGAAATGCTTGTCACATGGGGGTGCTGATGTGTAGAGCCACCATGCATGGCTACCAGGCTTGTGGTCATGACAGCTGCCAGGCTTGTGGTCACGGCAGCAGCCTGGCCGTTCAGCTGTTGCCACCAGGTAGGACTCAGCCTCCACCTTAGGGCTCAGTCCTGTCTTGGCTGGGCCAAGGGCTGGTCCCACCTGGGGACGTGGGTGTAGAAGGCCCAGGTGTGGCCCGCCTCCCCCTGAGCTCACCCAGCAGGCCCCTCTGCTGCACCTGCCTTGAGTGGTGGGCTCCCCGCCACATGCACACCTGTGCTTACAGAGCACGGGCCGGATGGGTGCAGGTGGAGCATGAATGAATGGATGGGTGGGTGGACAGGCAGGTGGAAGAAAGGAAGGGTGGCAGGAATGAACCCAGGGAGGCCAAGGACTGGGCCCCAAGTCACAGTGTGAGGAAGCAGAGGCAGAGCCCAGGACCCACTCTGCCCCTGCTGGTCCTAGTTCTGTGTCATTTCTGGGGGCTCTGCCTTCTCCAGGCATCAGGTAGAAAGTCCACCCGATTTATGGACATAGTGGATGCCAGCACAGAGAGTTATCGCCCACAGAGGGCCCTGATAGCCAGCCTTCCTGAGAGGTGGGTTTTCCATGTCACCCTGAAACAGGAGCTGAGCACGCTCATGGCCGTGATCAGCGATACAGCTGGTGGGCTGGCCCTGGCCACTACGCCCAGATGGGTGCTCTCTCCATGACACCAGGTGCCTCCCGCTCGAGGTGGAGGCCAGGCTGCAGGAATCTGCGTTCTGACCCGCTGTTGGGCCTGGGGCGTGCTCGGCGCTAAGGAGGACAAGGTCAGGGCCTGGGTCCCAGCCTGGACACAGTGGCTTTGCACAGACCACACTCACCTCTGTCCAGCCAGGCCAGGCTCAGTCAGCTATGCTGTATGGGGCAAGGGTGGTGACCCTGCTCTCCTATGGCCAGAAGCTGGGGGAGGCTTCCCCAACCACATCAGCCAGGATCACTGATCACGTGGATACCCTGTCATGCCTGGGTGGGGTCTTCAGTGCTCTGCCTGCTCATGTACCTATAGATTTTACAGGAGTGTCTTCTCTTTCCCATTTTCTCAGTTTTGTTTTCTTTTCCTGTGGGTTTGGTAAGCCCTGCTGGCTCCCCCCTTACCTTTGAACTCTCTAATATGCAGAGGTGTTTCCTCGACCTTAAGTCACCACGAAGGGAAAAACATTACCTCAGAATGACGGGCCAGTCACCAGGCACCCTTGTCCCAGGTCGGAGCCCATGGTGCTCATTTCTGCCCACCAGCCTGGGCGTTTCCATGGCAACATTCCCCTGGAGCTTGCCGTCCTTGGGTATGAGGCCAGCCCAGGTGCCGCGACGCTTCCTGCCCCCACCTGTGCTTCCCGCACCTGCTGCGCGGAGGATGCTGAGGCCTGGACAGGGGCCGTGCTGGGCCAAGGCCACACTGTTGCTCCTGTCCCCACGCCCTGCTCGGGGATGGCTCCCAGGAGGTTGGCAGTGCTGAGTCCCGGCGAGGGGCAGTGGCCCATGGCCTCAGCAGGGCCAGAGGGGCCGTGTGTGCTGGGCTGCCCCTTGTTACCCAGGGGTCTGCATGCTACAGCCCCCGACCAAATCAGCCTGCCGTCCGTTTCCGTTTAGCCCATAAATTAAGGATTGTTTTTATGTTTTCAAGGGATTAAAGAAAAATCAAAAGAATATTTTGGGACACATGAAAATTCTTTGACATTCTGATCTGTGTTTCCATGAGTGGACACACGGCCGCACATTCGCTCCTGTCCTCTGTAGCTGCCTTCTTGCTGCAAACACAGAACTTCAGTCAGGGCAGAGGCTGTGGCTCTCCCGGCAACATCGGTCTGCACCCTCTCCTGTGTCCTTCGTGGCCCTGAGACTTCACTGGGTGCTGAGGGCGGCTGAGATGCACATGCAACCCACAAAGCCCTAGAAACAAGTGCTGGTCCACCCGCTGTCAGAGCGGCTCCCACGTGGGTGGATGCATTTCACACACTGGGTTATCTCGCCCAGACTGTTAAAATCGAATGAAGTAACAGTCCCTTTCAACCCTGAAAGTCTGTGATTCAGCTCAAGTTACAGGATGTCTCTTCATCCTTTGGGGTTTCTACAAGGTTCCTAGAAAACCCGTGAAGAGCCTCCGTAACCCTCTGTGGCAGCGCCTCCTCCCCTGCCCCAGACCCGGGGCAGGGCTGCCACCTCCCTCTCTCCCAGCCTGAGTGGGTGGCCTTTCTCTCCCTCCTCCCTCTTCCTGAGGAAGCACAGAGGGGAGGGCCGAGGGAGCCATCTGCAAACCCAGCAGCTCCCTGCTAGCGGCTTCTGCTATTGCGCTGCGGTGCCTGTGTGTTCCTGCCAAGTCCAAGGGGAGGACAGTCCCTGCGTGTAGAGCTGGGTGGCAGGCACTGGGCTGGCTTGAATTGGTGACATCTGGGTCCCAGGGAGGGGCCCTGCCAGTGGCCCGCTGCTCAGCTGCTCTGTGCCTCAAGCGCGTGGTGCCTCCCAGGGCACTTGGTGGGAGCCGCACCCTGGGCCTGTGTGCCCGCACACTGTGGGTTCTGAGCTGGCTCAGTGGCCAGCAGTGTTCCCTGGAGGGCCCTGAGGGCTCTGGCGCTGCCCTTTCTCCCTCCCCTGCCCAACGCCAGCCCCTTTCCCTGTCAGGGAGCTGGTGGCCCCAGGGACCCCAGAGATGTTCATCCTGGCCGGGGAGGGAGGATCGCCTTGTGGGCTAGGAGGTGACAGCGAACTGTGATCACGCCACTGCGCTCTAGCCTGGGGGACAGAGTGAGACTCTGCCTCTTAAGAAAAAAAGTTCCCAGTGGCCAAAGCTGGAATAAGCAACAAAATGAAGTAATACCAGATTATAACCCGAAATACGAAATAAAATTTATAAGTCAATACTGATACCAATGAGTGGTTTAAGAAATAAAGAGAAGAGACAAATCTCCAGTATGGAAGAATTCCAAATACTGTCTGTAGAGTGTGCCCTTGAGGAGGGGGGCCCAACCCCCACCCCACTCGCGGGGGAGGAAGAGAGGGAGGAAGAAGCAACTCCACAGGGAGAGCCCAGTAGGCGTGCCAGCGGGTGCCCAGGGCGGCCAGGGGAATGCAGGCACCTCACCTCTGTCCTCCTCCTAGGCCCATGTCCCTTGTCACCAGGAATAAACGTCAGACGAACCCAGTGCAGGGACATTCCATGGAGCACCTGACCCGCCCTCCTGAAACCCAGCAGGGCCATCAAAAACAAGGGGAGTCTGAGGAACTGTTGTAGCCACGACCAAATGCCATGTAGGGTCCCAGGTGGGAAATGGCCCTTGGGTCAAACTGAGGACGTGTGGAGGGGTGTGGACTCCCGCTAGTGACAGTGCCTGGTGTGGGCCCCAACTGTGGCAGACGGGCCACACTCGTGGACAGGCTGGTGGGGTTCCTGGGACTCTCCTGTCCTCACCATCTTTCTGCAAATCTAGGGCCATTCTACTCGATAGAGTTGTGTCATGTCATGATCCTGCTTCCCTGGTTCGTGAGCCGTCCTCTTACAGACTTGAGGACGGAGGGCTGACAAGAGACCTCTTGGGGCTCTGGTGTAGGGCGGACTGGGCCCAGTCACACGAATGTTTGCCAACAGAGAGTGGGGAAACCAAGGCACACTCTACAAAGATGTGCGTCACAATTTGTTCTTAAGATTGGTCTTTAATCCCCAAGTGTGCGGCAGACCTGCAGCCTCCCAGGGGCATGTCGGGGGGTGTGCAGGGTGGGGCATGTTGGGAGGGAGCCAGCAGGGGCTGTGCCAGGGGTGCTGCCAGTGGGGACTTACGGGGTGGGGACTTGAGCCCCGAGGCGAGCAGGGAGGGGCTGAGATCACTGGCTCTGTGATTCAGAACACGGGTCCCCTACTGAGAATTTCTTGGTTCTCAGGTCCAGGGTCCAGGTGTCGAACGCATCTCTAGTTTTCTTGCTCACAGAGGCCTTGTGGGTTTGGTCCCAGCTGTGGTGACCCCTGTGCCGTGTGTGTCCTGCAGGGCGACTATGACCGGAACAGGACCAAAGTGGTGCATATGAGCCTGAACCCCACCAGCGTGGCTAGGCAGCGCCTGCGCGAGGACCGGGACCAGCTGCAGGCGGAGTGCGAGCGGCTACGAGGGCTGGTGCGTGCTCTGGAGAGAGGAGGCCCCGTCCCAGCTGACCTCGAGGCCACTGCATGTCTGCCGTCGTCCAAGGAGGTGGCAGGTAGGCCCCTCTCTCCGCCCAACATGCAGCAGGCAGGTCAGCTGCATGTCCTCCCAGGGTGGACTCAGTGTCCACCTGTCTGTCCTTCACGTGGAGGCAGTGTGGTCGCCACGCCTTAGAAGGTCTGTGCTCCCTTCCGGGCAGCCAACCTTGTGGATGGCGGGGACCCAGCGTCCTGGCCCCAGGGGCTGCACAGACAGGTTTAGTCTTCTGAGTCTGCAGGTAGCCAAAATAACTCAGGCAGCGGTAGAGAAATAAGCAGCTAAAATCTTCTCAGACCCCCTAAAATAAATAAGTATCATTTATCAGTTTATATGTGGCCCATTAATCACGAATAAATCCAATACTCCATGAAAACGGGCCATCTTTCAGTGGGCTAAGCACACTTCACAAGCCCAGAGAGCCCTTTGCAGCGTCCCGGGGGGAGCAAGGCCAAGCGGGAGTTGGTGCCCCTTGGCTGTGCCCTCCAGGTCTGTAAATCAGAGCAGTGACCTTCAGATGTGTGGCCTATCCCCTCTGATGTAGTGAAGTGACGCTGGGATCCGCTCACTCCAAGCCTCAGGGAGTGTGACAGGCACCAAGTGCCACCCTGGCTGAGCCCACTCTGCAGCCACAGGGACAGGCAGATCCGTCACCTAGAGTAGCAGGGTTCCATGAGCCCAGAGACACTGATTGTGGTCTAGACCCCCCGAAGCACGCTGCCCCACGCCCTGGGCCTCGGGTCCTTCCACATAGCCTGGAGCACAGGCCTGCCCCCGCTCCTGTGTGTGGCAACACTCTTGCTGCCTCAGCCTGGAGGTATTTGCAGGGTCATCTGGGGGGCGCTGTGGGCTGCTGTTCTCTTGACACGTGCGTCTCGATTTTGTTTCTGGGTGTGTCTTTCTGCCTGATGAAGCCTCTTCCCATTTCCTTTCCGTGTGTTTGTCACCGCATCTGGTGAAGGCTGGGGGTGTTCCCTGGAGAGCGGAGCTGGAAAGGCTGGACCTTCCCATAGTGCCGAGCCCCGCTGACGTGTGGGGCGGGTTCTTCTGGTCGTCCGTCTGTCAGAGAGTCTTAGGTGGGGCCCTCCCTCCCACCCTCCGTTTGCTCTCTCCATAGACCTTTGTAGAACACCCAAGGGCCGCATCCCAAAGCCCCGAGGCATAAGGCCTGGTGCCTGGCAAGCCTGTGGTTGTGAGGTCAAGGTCAGCCAGCCTGCATAGAGTGGCCAGCTGTGCCCTTACTCAAGGTGTGACCCCGAAGCTTCAGTGTCTCAGCTGTTGAGTCGAGGCCGTAACAATACTACAGGGGGTGGTGCCGCGAAGCCCCGGCATGGGGGCTAGATGCCGCGGGCACTGAGAACTGATGGCATTTTGTTGTCCTCAGTCTTGTTGCTGGTTCCTGTGAGTGTCATTAGCATGAGGTGGTCTCTGGGCCCCCCCCAGCCTCAGCATCCGCGTCCGGCAGGTCTCAGGTTTGTCAGTGTCCTTTGTCCTGGGGTTCACCTGTGACTGACACGGTATGGAGTCGATGGGACTCTGTGCCCCTTGGCATTTTATGGAACAGCATTTGCTCGAGCGGTCCTCTCTCTGTGACCCCGTATTGGGTTCATGAGCAATGAGCACAGGGCGTGTGCGAGCCTTGCACACCCTCATGCATGCACACCCCTTTACTCCTCACACCTCTCCCCTCTAGGTTTTCAGAATTAATTTTTGGGACCTCTTAGCAGGGACTTGTACTGACCCTTAATAAATCCCATGTCATTTTCTGTAGATTGGAATATCAAGGCACATTAAGAAACGTGACAGAACCAGGCCTAGAAGGGCCTTACTTCCTGGGTTGTTCCCCCTTCCCTGGGTGGAGCAGAGACTGGTGACACAGAGTGAGGCCCACCAAAGCTTGCCCCCCAACACCCGGCTCCTGGGGCCATCGTGTTCCACTCACCGTACAAGTGGTTCTTGGGCTTCTCAGTTCTCATCAGCCTCAGCTGTGTAGGCCATGGGCCGCCGCCAGGGGTTCCTAGACACTGGCTTGTTAGCATGGACAGACCTCCCGATAACCTTCCCTGGGGCTGCACAAGGAGGCCTCTCCTGCCAGCCGACGGATTATGTTGGCTGCCCCATGTGCTGGTGCAGGGACTGCATACTCAGGTCCAGGCTACGCAGCAAAGTTGGCCGTGAGTGGGGGTGTGCCCTGCCAGCACGGCATGGCTCTGTGGCCAGCTAGCCAGGTGTGTCCGCCCTCTTTCCCGGTAGCCCAGGTGGGAAACAAAAGCCAAGAGTAGGGGCAGGCCTCTCTCACACGACCTCTGGGTGAGTTGGGGGCAGTCCTGGGCTTCCTCCCAGCTCTCCCCACCACAGGGGTTGCCTCCAGGTCTCCATGGGGGCCGTGAAGGCCCGAGTCCCTGTGTCCTCTAGCCCTTCTGGCCACGGCTCCTCCTCTTGCCTGTGTGTCCTGGCAAATTTAAGAGCTGAAAATGCAAACTTGGAGCATTTGCAAAACGATTCTTGGAAGGGTCCCTTACCAGCATCTAGTGTAATAGATCAGTCCCTTGACTGTTTGCTCATTTATTTATTCATCCATCCTGTCCCCCGGGCTCTGTGCTCCACTGTGGGGACATGGGCACTTGGAATATGGCCGTGACAGGTGTTCAAGGCTGGAAGGGGTGCTTCTGTGTCACACTAGAGGGGACAGGAGAGGCTTTCAGATCTGGCCTGGGAGAAGGAGTCAGGGCCAAGGTTGCCTGAAAGAGGGGAAGGGGCATGTATGCAGAGGCCTAGGCCAGTTGAGGGTGAGGTGGATGAGAAGTGTCTGGATCCCAGTGCTGATTGGACTCATCGTCTGTGCCCTCCTGCCCCAGACCCTTGGAAGTCACAGAGAGAGAGTGCAGCAGCAGACTTGGAATCTGGAAAGTAGGTGACTAAATGGACTCGGCAAAAGGAATTCTGAGCTGCAGTAGGTGGAGCCAGACGGGTCTGATTCACACCTCAGCTCTCCCAGGAGCTGGTGGCAAGTGACAGCAGGGAGAGGTGTAACCGGCTAAAACACGGGGGATGGAGGATGCTTGGTTGAGAGTTCAGCTGTGAGACAGAGCCCCAGATCTTACCCTCAGCTGTGTGCAGTGGGCAGTTGTCTCTCCTCAAAAAAGATAAAAAACCAAAAAGCCAGCAGTTTATTAAAATGTGGTCCCAGGCTGGCAGCAGCCTCTCTGGGACCATTTTGGAAATGCATATTCTTTGCTCCGTCTCAGACCTCTGAGTCAGAAGTCCTGGGCTGGGCCCGGACATCTGCTGACCAGCCCTGTAAGATGCTCAGGTGCTCAGGCAAGTTTGTGAACAGCTGCTCTGGGGAGGGGCTGCGGAGGGTCTCCGGACAGGCCCAGGCCAGGACGTAAGCCTAGAGTGAGCACAGAGGGTGAGGCAGAGGATGCTGATGGACTTCAAGACGCCTCCCGCCCCAGGCCCGCTCAGTGCACTCTGGAGTGCTGGCGGTGGCAGGTGTGGCCTCCAGGCCAGGGGCCCTGACCAGCCCCAAAAGGCACCGACATTGCAGGTTCCCAGTGGAACTGCTCAGCCCAGTTAGTCCGTGGGGAAGCCTCATCCTCCCGCTCAGAGGTTCCTGTGTGCCCTGTGGCACCCACTTATGACAGCAAGACACCCAGGATTGTCAGACACCGGAAAGAAGAAGAAAAGGCCTCTGAGATGGAAAATATAGATCAAAGTAAACAATAGAAAAATGCAACTTGAAGGCAGTAGACCATCACAGCGAAGAAAACCTCCAAAGAATTGTGCTGTGGATGTCTTCAGAGATAAGACAGGACGTTTCAACGACACAAGAACAAGATACCTTTAAACAATTCTGAGAACAAAATGAACTTTGAGAAGTTAAAGATATTGAGAGTTAGATGGAAATCTAAATGCAAGTTTTATAAGATAAAATTGAGAAAGTTTATCTGAAAGTAGAGCAAAAAGAAAATGAGATGGAAAACAGGAGGAAAAAGGTAAGAAAATCAGAGGACCGACCAGTCCAGGGATCCAGGTCTGAGTAAAAGGGCGCCGGGGGAGCAGAAGATGGGGTGGGGGGTGGGGGTCACAAGTGAAGTGCTTGGAGAGCAGCTCCGGGGTGGGAGGAGCTGATGATCCGCCTCGTGGAATATGCGCAAAAGGCCCTTTCCTTGGATGGAAATGGATCTGTACAAATATACATCCTCGTGAAACTCAGAATACAGGGACAAAGAGCAGGCTGTAAACTTCCAGAGAAGGAAAAGATAGGTCATTTGTCAAAGGACGAAGGTCCGAATCAGTTAATACTCTCAGCAGCAGCCTGGCAGCTGGAAGCCGCACCTTCTACTTCCCAGCGGAGTGACTGCCACTGAGAGTCCCATGCCCACCCCAGCTCCCAGTTGAGTTTGGAGGAAGAATTACATGTATTTTCAGCTGTCCAAGGTCTTAAAAATTTACCTCCCAAGTACTCTTTCTGGGGAAGCTGGTGAAGGATGTGGCCCAATAACATGAGGGAGCAAACCAAGAAAGCAGATGCGGCGCAGAATACAGGAGCTCCAGGCTCGGAGGGGGCGAAGGAAGATCCCAGGACGGCGGGCTTGGGGAGCAGCCAGCATGGGCTGGAACCGGTCAGAGGGTACCGGGGCTTCCTCAGACAAAACGTGGGGCATCAGATGTCTCCAGAGGAGACATGGGCCAGAGCTCTCCTCACCTGTGTGCCTGGCGTGGGCTGCTGTGGACATTGGTGCCTTTGCTCCAGGGCTGCTGCCCCTGGCTGCACATAGCCTCCTCCTTCCCTGTGTGTCAGATGCGTTTCTCGTGTTTTATGTTTGCCACTCCACCAAAAAAAAGTCAGGAAGCACCTACGTAGACAACTAGCACAGAGGTGCGACTATTGGGATGAATGCTCTCGGTGTTCTCCTTGCTGCATGCTCCACTCCCAGTTCTCCCCGGGAGGGGAGCAGCTCTGTCCCTCACCCGGGCCTGACCACTGTGGTGCTGGCCTGATCCGTGGCCCTG